GACCTTATGCAGTTCCGTAGGGCCTGCAAGGCGGAGCTCTTCCGCCAGGCTTTTGAGTAGGAGCAGCCCCCCCACTATACCATCACCGTCATGGGCTCCTGAAGGACACATTGATGAGGCCCTGAGGAAGAACCTGGCAATTGCAAAGAACATCTTATAAGCCGTCGCCATTGGGCACAAACATCATGGGAAGTTTCACCTGGAACTGTGTGGATTCCATCTTGGACTCATGACATTATTGATTGAGCACCGTTGTTTTTAAGTGTCGGATGTTTTATTATGTATTTTATGTCTTAAGCTTACTATCTATTATATGTTTTTACTATGGCATGGTTAATTACCGTGCCCGTGTTAGCCGCCCTGAGCCCATTGGGGAGGGCGGGATATAAATGTGAAAAAAAATAAAATAAATTCCCAGCCAATTCCTTGGCAGTCATCCTGAAGCTACTCATTTGTCTCTTTAGTTGATAGCTGACAAGGGGCCATGAGTCTCCCACTTCTCCTTTCTTGCAACTCTAAGCATCTCTGACAGCATCTGCGCTGCAAGGGTATGGGTGAGCTAGGTGGGCTGGGAGTGGCTTCTGAAGACTTGTTTATTGCTTCAGAGCTACAAGGTGCTGCACTGTGGTGCACTTTGTTCACAAGAGCTCCCTGATCCTCAGAAAGGATTTTCAGGATGAGCAACAAGCTGCAGGGGGAAGAAGAAGGTGGGAAACACTGCTCTGCCAAACTGGTATTTAAATTTTACAATGAGAGCCTTCCCAGTGGTTGTTGGGAGAAAGTTTGGTATGGTCTGTTTTGATGCTGAATTGAGCAGGAAGCAGGAACTTAATATCCTGGAGCAAATCAGAGGGCTGTCCATGTGTATGCTAAATGTTAAATGGATGTAGGCATTGCAAACTAGATGAAGCAGTTGCTGTTTTCATGTAATAAAATAACGCTCAAATCAGTGCATACTGTAAGTTCAGAAGTCATTTCGGGGGGGAACGTGGGGGAACACAGTTCCCCCGGGTGAGGTGCAGGGGGTGGGGCACATGACGAAGCCCCGCCCCCTGTTTCCGGCCGCCACGCTTCCAGCCCTCATTCAGCCAGGAGGAGGCAGGAGAAGAGGGAGGGTAAGTTGCTTCCTCCCCGCCTCTCCCCACCCCTGCCTGCCTGGGGCCAGGGAGGGCCTTGGCGGGGCTTCCTTGCACTCCCGCTGGCCTTGCAGGTCCACCGCCGGGCCCCTGATGTCAGGGGGTGTGGCATATGCTAATGAGTTATGCTAATGAGTTCCCCTAGCTCTTTTTCTACGAAATGACCCCTGTGTAAGTTATATTGTAAGTTATGTAGTGAAGGTGGTGTAAATTTTAAAATTAAAAAATTTGTGCTGTTTTCATTGTTGCTATTTTAATCTTGTGCTGTAAACCACCTGGTTGGTTGTGAATGCAGCTTATAAATATCTAAATATGCAGCACAACCCTGGCTCAGTCCTTCTTAGTTTCTCTTAGCTACCTTGCTAAATGTTACATGTACAGGCTGGTAAAGCTAAGTTAGTAGTAATCCATTGTTTTGATTGCCTTTTATAGCCCCACCGGTTTGAATAGGAAAACTTTCTGGCACCCTAAATAAAATGCTGTTTGATTTAGCATATTTATTTTGACAATTTTGTAAACAAAACTTTAAAACTACCCCATGTTAACTTTGTGTCCCAAAAGCAACAAATATGTAAACTGAAATATTTAATTAATACAAATCAAGTATAACTTAATGTATATTCAAAGCTTTATGTTGTTCTCATTTTTATTGAAATAATACTTCTAAAACTTTAAAGGCTATAGAGCTTATACTTTACTTATATTAGTGATCCTCTTTCTGTTGCTGTTTGACATAGCACCAGCGGCTCTTCTGAGCACTGTTTCACACAATGGTAACCACCCCATTTTCCAGGAAAGTGAGCAAGGCCACGCTCTGGTAGGGCTTATATTTGACAGGTGGTTTCCTCTTTAAAATAGCCACCACTGCAGAGACTGAAGGACAGGTAAGCTGTGAGCTTTCCTGAGCTGTGAGCTTTGTGCTAGGGATGGAAGTAAAGAGACCATCCTATGCAGCACATCTCCATCCCCTGCACATTTATCTCAGTACCCAGGTTGGCTTCATGGAGAAAAGAATACTGGCTGCAGAAGAGAGAGCAGAAATACTGCAGCCATGGTAGCTACATAGAAAAACAGCAAGATGGTCATAGCAGAATGGCGATGGTGATAGTTTTACGCCTATTTCTATGTGAACAGCTTGCTCTCTTTCAGGCACCTTGACAGTTTTACTCTCTTACCTAAACTGCTGTGCCTGGTGCTGAGTAGCAAGCAAAAAGGCTGTTGGGGAAGTTCTTCACTTTTCCTCCAGATATATAAGGGCTGGCAAAGGTTCAGCATTGGGGAGAGCCAACTACGGGTGTGCATTCGGCAATAGCCGAACCGAAAAAATACCTGAAAAATACCTTATTCGGCTACCGGTATAGCTGAACCCAAAAAAGCTGATGTTATCTGGCTTTTTTCCAGGTTCATTCTGCTATACTGAATACAAGGAGTCAGTTAAACCTAACAGCCTTGGGCCACCAGTCAGCTGTTGAGTTTAAATGGGAGAGAAAGAAAGGCATTTTAAACATGCCTACCCTTCGCTTCCCCAGCCAGCTTGCTGGAGAAGGGAAGGGCAGGCGTGGAAACATGCCTCTTTTCTTCTATGAGCCTCTCTGCTACTGCGGAGAAACTCAGGCAGGGGAGGGAAAATGTGGGGGGCATGTTTAAATGCCTGGGTTCCCTGCCTGATCTTCTCCAGGTGTCCCCGCCTGCCCTTTGCTTCCCCAGCCAGTGGGGGGCATGTTTAAATGCCTTTCTTTTCCTCCCTCTGACTTTCC